GCGCCTGTCAATAACACGTGTGCTTGGCGGTGGAGATTATTGAGAGAGATTGAGAGAGACAGCGCCTATGTGGTACCCGCGATGAAATAGGAAGATTGGAAAACGACAACTTGTCGCGGCTCAGCGCGTAAGACGCAGAGTGCGTACAGCTGATTCGCACACGGATCGCGCTACACTCAGAATAGACATGAGCTTATTCGTACCGTTGTGGTAAATCGGTTCTCCATATTGCGTGTCAGGAGATTGCTTGTGGATCATCAGTCTGTTATTGCTAAATAATGTATTCTTTTTTTCTTACCTTTTTGGTCATAATGGCTAGTGGGACAGCAACTTGGCTCTGTCACGTGGTCCGGAGCTCCACCCCCACGAAAGCCATGTCATTCTCTGCAATTTAAGAAAAAAGTGTCTTTAGCCTTTTTTTACCTGGATACACAGGATTGATTAATTATCGTTTTGTTGTCTTTCTGTTTCATAAAAATGAAGGTGTCACTTACGTTAGCATTAGCACACTTGAATGGGGACTACAGAAATTTTGAGGATGCTTTGCATTGACACTACAATAAATAGTGGCACCTTTTTGGACTGTCAGCTTTTTTCTAGAGACACCACTAGACCAGCACTTTTAAAATGTACTACATTACCTCTGTTTTTTTTCTGTGCTCTCTTTCACGTTTCAAACCAAACAAACAAACAAAAGCAAACAACGGAAAAGACGGCTTCGTAGGATTGCCGCACTTACGTGCGTCTCGCAAAACTTTTGTTTTGATCCGCCACGCAATAACATTATTACCTTAAAAAGCAAGCGCGGGACCCTTTTGCGAGTACAGCAAGCAGCGCAATACGTTGCGACTTAATTAAATGGGAGCGAGAGATGGGCTCGGGATTGAAGTGAGAAGGTGAAAGCGAGGGGAGCGGCTGACAGCGCGCGGGAGGCGGGCGGGGGCGGCGCGGAGGCGCCTTGCCTTCCCTCTGCCGTGCAAAAGCCTGCCGGGGATTACTACTGAACCTCCCGCGACTACACGCCCACTGCTCCCCGGGAGGCGCGCCCCGCCGC